TTGTGGGGTTCTTTCCTTCCATGAGCTCTGGGGATTTAACTCATTATCAGGTCATCAGGATTATGTGGCAAGAGCCTTTACCCATTTTCCTGGTTAGTTTTATGTCAACCTGACACAAGCTAGAGTCATCTGAAAGGAGGGAACCTCAGTTGAGAAAAATGCCTCCAAAAGAGCCTGCTGTAAGGCATTTTTTAAAGTAGCGATTGATGAGTGAGGGCCCAGCTCATTGTGGGTGGTGCCATCCCTGGGTGGTCCTGGGTTCCATAAGAAAGCAATCTGAACAAGCCATGAAGAGCAGCTAGCCAGCAAAGAGCATCCCTCTGTGGCTTCTGCATCAGCTCCTGTCTCCAGATTCCTGCCCTGTTTGAGTTCCTGTCTTGACTTCCTTTGATGATGGACTGTGATGAGGAAGTGTAAGCCAAATAAATCCTTTCCTCTCCAACTTGCTTTTTGGGCCATGATGTCCCCTCATAGCAACAGAAACCCTGACTGAGATACTCATGGAGCATCTCCCCGGCCCTGTGTTTGGAAGTTTTTGAGACACGTTTTCTTGTAGGGTTCCTTCATTCATGCTGCCCTTGGACTCACTATGTGGTAGAGGCTGGATTTGAATTCCGGATCTTCCTGCCTCTGGCTCTCCAAGGTGCTGTCAGTACAGGCAGGAACCACCAGCTTGACTAGGAGTGGCTTTATCTGTGTATCTCTTCTTCTGCAGCTGTGATTGAACCCAGGGCCTTCTCAGCGGGAGGCAAATGTTTTCCCAGTGAGCTACATTTCCGGTCTTTGTCCTTTTTAAATTTAGTTTAATACAGAGTTTCTGGGGTTGCTTTTGAACTCACTATGTACCCTAGGTTGGTCTTGAACTTGCAACTCTTCTGTCTCAGTCTCTGAGTACCCAGGATTACAGGTGTGCACTACCATACCTTGTTCATTACACTTTGCTTCTCCTTCCGAATATACTTACTGGCTAGCCGCCGTATATTTGTCAATAATGGCACTGAAAATGAGTCGCTGTGACTCACAAGGCACTTAGAGCCCAACAGGCTACAGGTCCAAGTGGATCATTACAGCTTAATAAATGTTACAAAGGCAGACAAAATTTTATGGGGAAAGAGCTGGAGGTGGGTGGCCAAGAGATTCCTTTTCGGAGTAAGCTAAGTTTAGCTGATAGGGAATAAAGTGAACTGGGTGAGCCGTGGGTTTTCTAAGATCATGACATACCGCTTAACAGCTCTTGAGACGTTTGTGTTTCCAATCCTTGCACAGTGTTTGGCATACAGTAAGTGCTTAATAAGTGCTGAATCAATAAATGTGCCGTCACAGTTCAGACATCTAACTCTCTGGCATTGAAGCTGGTGAAGACTTAATTTCTTTTTCAAAGGAAATAGTATCTCTTAATGGGGAAATGAGAAGGTAGACAGAAAGCCGTTTGTGCACATTGCTAAATTGAAACTATGAGTGGGGATGAAAAATTGATTTACATGAATTTTCATCCCTGTAGCAACTCAATTTATTCTGTACCAGAGAACTTGGAGTATTTGGCTGCAAAACCAAGCTGTTCTTCCTTGTTCTGGATTCTTGGCCTGCTGTGAAGCTAGCATTTACTGTCTCCTACAGCATACCCTCATTAGGTCATGGAAATTCACAGCTAGATCAAACTAGTGGATGGAAAATTTGAAGCCTTCTACTGTGTATTAAGGTCTGTGGCTTTGGGAGATACCGTGGAACGTTGACTTTTAAATTCTCTGTTTCAAAAGCAATGCCAAAGAATAACTGGCATACTTATGAACATTGACTGTTCATCTTGCATATCTTATGCTAACTCTCACAGGAGGACACCAAACAATATGATAGCTTCTTATTGTTCAACTTAGGGTTTTTCCACCCCCTTTGGCTTTTTGAGACATGATCTCTCTATGCAACCCAGGCTTGCCTGGAACTCAGTATGTAGACCAGGCTGGCCTGGAACTCAAAGAGGTCTACATGCCTCTGCCTCCCAAGTGCTGGGACTAAAGGTATGGGACACTGTGACTGGTCAACTTATTTTTTGTCTTCAAGCTTTCACTTTAGAAAGAGGTTAAGGGGGAGATGGCTCAGTGGTTAAGAGCACTGACTGTTCTTCCAGAAGTCCTGAGTTCAATTCCCAGCACCCACATGGTGGCTCACAACCATCTGCAATGAGATATGGCACTTTCTTTTGGCTTGTAGGCGTACATGCAGACAGAACACTGTATTTATAATAAATCTTCAAAAAAAAAGAGGTTAAGGGAATATGGCAAGACAGATCAGAAGGTAAAGGCATTTGTTGTCAAACCTGACAACCTGATTTTAATCCCCGAGACCCATATAGTAGAAGAAAAGGACCCATTTCTGCAAGTTGTACTCTGGTCTCTACACTTACCCATTCCCTCCCATTCCAGCACGGGCATGTAGTGTTTCCTTGACAGACAGTGAGATTCTGGGCATTCCTTTCCCCACATGAGTCCAAGCATTTAATGTGTCTGCTTCTCTTGTGGCTGTACATGTTGACGCCCTTCATAATTCTTCTCTGCTTGATTGAGGTAAAGATTTTTTTTCTGACACATTGATTTTTGTATCTTTAATGCCAAGATTGATAATTGTTTTGTTTGTATTTTAGACAAGGTTTCTCTGTGTAGCCCTGGCTGTTCAGAAACTCACTCTGTAGATCAGGCTGGCCTCAAACTCAGAGATCTGCCTGCCTCTGCCATCCAAGTGTTAGGACTAAAAGTGTGTGCCACCACCACCTGGCATGATAATCTGAACATAATACCCTAACAAAATTTCTTGGGAAATAAATAAATCCGAATTCACTTGTCTGTGGAAAAGGCAATCATTCAATTGAGGTTTTGAGATTTTAGAATCAGTCACAGGACTTCTGTGTATGGTAGTTTTGGAATTCTGAGTTTACCCATGAACATTGTACAGAAATTGTCTCCAATTCTTCCAAAGACAGACCCAAAGGTGTTTGCTCTCTTGCCTCCCTGACCTCTCTTTGCATTTGTTCTATCTTTCTATATCTATCTATCTATGTTTTTTAAAAATAATTTATTTTTTATTTTATGTGTATTGGTGTTTTGTCTGTGTGAGGGTCCCCTGGTCCCCTGGAACTGGAGTTACAGACAGTTGTGAGCTGCCATATGGGTGCTGGGAATTGAACCCGGGTCCTTTGGAAGAGCAGTCAGTGCTCTTAACCGCTAAGGAGTCTCTCCAGCCCCCCATCTATGTTTTTGAAAAAGGATCTCATATAGACCGGGTTGGTCTCAGACTCCTGACTCTGCCTCTGAGAAGCATGTGCCACCACTCTGGGCTGATATTTACTAAACGGCACACTGTCAGAGCAGCTGACCCTTATCATACTACAGAAGTTCTGTGTTTGATTTGTTTTTGTACCTGAACCAACATGGAATGTAGTAGTTTTGTTGTTGGGTCTGTTTTTGTGAAACACACCCTCATCTAGGCCAGGCTGGCACCAAATGGCCTTGTAGCTGAGCCCCCCCTCCCCCAAGTACTGGGATTACTGTAACTTGAGGGGTTTTGTTTGTTTTAGTATTTTGAGGATCATCTTTCCCACCTCATTGGAACATAAGCTCAGTGAAGCTAAGAATTTTTGTCTCTTTTGTACACGTCCCCAGCATCAAACTGTGTTTGGCTCACCGAGCAACGAAGAAACTAAAACGAGAAAGAGCAAAGTATCTAAATTTTTATTTTATTTTACTTTGGTTTTCCAAAACAGGGTTTCTCTGTGTAGCCATGTCTGTCCTGGAATTGCTCTGTAGACCAGACTGGCCTCAAGCTCAGAAATCTGCCTGCCTCTGAGTCCTGAGTGCTGGGATTATCATTTAAAAGTCAGATACTCCTATTTTACCTCCAAACTTCCACAGTAACTACTGCTCACATAGGATTTCACATATGCACCTGAAAGGGAATTTTTTTTTTTTTTTTTTTTTTTTTTTGAGACAAGGTCTCACTGTGCAGCCCTGCCCGGCTCTAAACTCTCTAGGTTGACTAGGCTGGCCTCAAACTTGCAGATTTGTCTGTGTCTGCCTCATCAGTGCTGGGATTAAAGACTGAGTATTTAATAAATGACCAGGTATTTGGGCGCGTGCACCTCCATCTGTTCAACTTGGAGGTGACTGACTTGATCTGGTCTACTTTGTATCTACACTTCTCCAGGAACTGAAGCAGGACCACTTCCTCTGTAGTCCACGCGTGGCCTCAGGGTCACTATTCTCCATCTGCCTCCCAGCTGCTCCGGGAGCAAGTGGCCCATCCAAAGTCCGTGACGGAGATGTAAAGGCCCTTTGTTCCGATCTCCTCTAGAGAGATGGGATGGGAGAGAGGCGAGGTGGTGGGAGGAGGTGAGCGGCTGAAGGGGGGAGGGCGAGCTTAGCCATTCAGGTTCAGGCCACCTGGCTGCACCCACCCACCCCCGAACCAGGGGTAGGCACGGCTTCAGGGCGGCCCCTAGCGGAGAGTGCGAGCGTGGAGGTCAAAGGGCCGGTGCGAGCCCCAGGGAGCCCGCCACCCACCTCGGCCCCTCCCCTCGGGGGCGAGCCTGGCTGGGGGCGGGTTTTGTTTACTCCCTACACGCACCGCGGTCCGGCCAATCCGTGCAGAGCGTCGCCGCGCGTCACGCCCCCGGAGGGCCAATCGGCGTGCACCGTGCTGCTCCGCCGCCAAAGCGAGCGCGGGGGAAGCGGCGCCGCGGCCGTGTCGCGGAGGGCGGACG